CTTCATGCTAATCATCTTTGTTCATCTAGAATAGCAATTACGTTTAATTGACGTCACATGTTGCATCATGGTTTTTTTTCTATGGAAGGTAAAGAAAAATGACAAAATACATTATTTTACCTGTAATGCAAGACCGTTTTTTAACAAGAAGCCCAATGTCCTTAACGGTCACCAGAAATATGTCATATAGTTATTTCTCATTGTTTAAACGTCACTTTTAAACGCTTCATCTTTCTTTTGTCATATCAAACGTTAAATTAAATTGAATCTGTCAAGCATTCCTAAAGGTGTACATGTAGTCATTTCAATATTTAACTAGATTTGTTGTTGTGAACAAAAACGTATCCCCTTTAACGGGTTAAAAGTAACGGCCTGGACAAGATATTCCTGAACACTTTNTCCTGAACACTTTGCACATATTTGACCTTTGACCTCGAGGTCAATGTCAGTGACCTAAAGGCAGTGCACTGTAAATCGTCTGTGGGTGATGCAGATATAAGTTTTATAAAAATATCTTTAACCATTACAGAAGTCCTCAAAACTGACTCCATAGTCGCAAATGATGCTTGGATAGAGTTTACAATGCCATCATATACTTGGATACTAAGTTTTACACAAAATTAAATACAGTGAGGTACCGTTAGCATCACCTTTGCGCACACATTTTAATGTTTGAAACGATCAATTATTTTACCTATGACCATGAAGTAAATACTAGTGACCTAATAACAGAGCATTGCACATCATATGTAGGTGGTGCAGTTATACTGCAGTTTCATCAAGATGTCTTTAATGGCTTAAAAGTAACAACCAGGAGAAGATGTTCCTTAATAAATTGCACATATGTGACAATGACTCAATGACATTGCATTGCACATCGTCCATGGGTGATGCAGGAATACTACAAGTTTTATCAAGATATCTTTAAAGGTTTAAAAGCCACGGGCCAGACAATAATGTACTGAAAATGTTGCTCTTATTTGACCTTTGACCTTAAGGTGAAGGTCACTGTGACTGATTTATATTAAACAGCACACCCTCAGTGGTTGATGTAGGTATACCTAAAATTTCTTCAAGATATCTTAAACAGTTCAAAAGTTACGGCTCGGACTGTTATGAGTTTACCTTTACTATTTTTCTATATCTTTTGTAGTTTTGGTATTATTTGTCTGTGCCAATGCATTTATTAGGTCAAGTCAGTCATACAACAATTGGTACGGTCCAACCATGCATGACTATTGTTATTGACATTTATACAAATGTAATATGTTGCATTTAACAATGTTTTGATGTATAAATACAGGTATAACATGCATCACTATTGTCTTTAAGTAATATAAGCGTAATTGATTGATGTTTTTGAATGTGTTTTAATTGCTTATACCGTGCTTTTGTTTGATATAGTTATCTATGGAAGCCCTAATAAATGTAGGCATAGCTCAGTGTAATGCGTACACAGTCGGGTGGTAATTGGATGGAAACATGTATATGCCATATTTGTTGTAACAATTCTATATTTCGTTATATTTATTTATATATCTTGGACCCACACACTATTTCTGGATACTTTGTGACATGGCAATTTCACTGTTATGTTTTCTTATTATGATTATGAAATATTCGGTGTAAATTAGGATATTTTCTTGACTACATATATTAGGGGAGTATGAAACTGGGAGCGAGGAGTAACTATTTCAGTTAATTACGTATTGTAGCTTCACATGACGGCAATCACCGACTCATCAACCAGCCAGGACCAGGCGTGATATCAACATCTGTAAACAACGACTAACCAAAACCTCACTAAGGGATCCATCAGGTTTATTCATCACACAGGCTCTGGTCATGGGATTACGGGATGTGTAGCCGCCGTACGTGTTTCGAGAGGACATCTGTACCTCTTTGTTATTAGAGGTGTAGTGTCATGGACACTACGATATTATTGTGTCTATGTCTTTGTTAATCACAGCAAAGGGGACCTCAATCAGTGTATTGCTTGAGGTGTGTATCTTTGGATTGAGCTGTGTCACACTAAGTGGTATATAAACGAACTTTGTCTGTATTACTTAGAGGCCAGTTTCGTGGATGTGTGCTACATACTTGTATACTTTAATGAATAGATTAAGAGGCATATTTAGGATTTCTTGCAAAGAAATATTTGAGTCCAAAAGTTTACCTGACTTGGGTACCAGAGGATGTTTTCGTTTTTAGTGTTGCGACATTGTAAGATTATCAGGATAATTTACAAATACAATACCTACCTGGTATATTGTTGACCTCTCACCACCGCCTACTTCCAGCTGACCCTCTGTTAAATGTAAAATGAGTTTCCTATGTGAGGGTATGTAAGCAACTTATTTTGAATTAAAGTTTATGTTCTTATAATATGCCTATTATACTATTATAGGACAGCTATAACTGGATATATATTTTATTTCAAAAACAGCTTAAAATAAACTTGAATCTTCTTTTCATTTAATAATGCCATAACCTTCATCATATTATGGCGGCCCTACTAGCAATGATTCCAGTGTCTTTATATTCTACCATAATCTTACTAACTTCGTCCTTTTAAAACGTTCATGCTACCTCCTTCAAGTTGTGTGATCTACTTTAGTCGCACTACAATACTCTGGAGACTTTATCCTATTATAATGGTTCTATCTTTATCACAGTAGGTGTACATACTACGGCTGTCCTATTACAATACTCCTATTATCTGCTATATGTAACTACCACAATTGTTATAGGTGGTTCGTATAGCACAACTTATTAAATGTTTATTTGTGATCTTTGACGACATTTACGACTGCCTACTAGCTTCATCTTATTACGACTGCCTATTAGCTTCAACCTATTACGACACTGCCTACTAGGTTCAACCTATTACGACGCTGCCTACTAGCTTCATCTTATTACGACTGCCTACTAGCTTCATCTTATTACGACTAACATTGATACATTGTATGATGTTCTGTTTTATGATGTAAACATCATACGTTGGCAAAGATTCATGGAATATATATGCAAGATATTTGCATTCAGACCAGTATGAACAGAATTAAAAGGTATTTTTCCTTCCCTTAATGAAATGTATTCCTCTAACCTTTGGGCTTTAGATTGGATAACCTCGTTTTGATATCTTTGATGGCTGTTGTTGCTCTCTTGACTATATCACCGGCACGTTCGTCTATAGAGTTGACAACTTCTAAGAGGACACTGTAATCTCCTAACTTGATTATACCCTGACGAAAGAGGATTTCACAATGATCCCCTACAAACGTTAAACCTGACCCGTATATCTCACGCCTTGTAAGATACGATGTCAGTCCATTACGAAATAGATCCCACTCATGCCGTAACTCTGGTGAGATGTATTTGCTGAGTTCCCTAATCATATCATCGTGTTTCTTCCGCATGTCTTTTTCCAATCGTTGTATTTGCTCAGCTAGTTGTGACTGAAATAAAAAATCATTTAATTTATTAAGGATATGCAGTTTTGACAATGCTTAACTATTCATCAGACACTCATTGTTCATTCTGCATGCTAATTCATCTTTGTTCATCTAGAATAGTAACTATGTTCAATTGTTGTAATCAACGTCACATGTTACATCGTGATTTTTTAAATAAAAATGACAAAACACATTATTTTACCTATATTGCAAAACCGTTTTTTAACAAGAGGCCAAATGTCCTTAACGGTCACCAGAAATATGTCATTTAGATATTTTCATTGTTTAATCGTCACTTTTACACGCTTCATCATTCTTTGTCATAACAAACGTTA